AAATAAATAAATAAATAAAATCTTTAAAAAAAACAAAAAAAATCTGAAAATTTTCTATGGTTTCTCATAAAAGGTAAGTATATCCTCTCTTTGTACTCCCACAGAATTATATAGATACCTCTCTTATAGCGTGTACCGCAATGGATTATAAATATTTGTGCCTCATGCTAGACTTATGAAGTTTTTGAGGGAGACATTATTTCTTGAGAAATACAGCTATGTTCTTCTCAGTAGTTCCTGGTACATGCTTGCTGTTTGAGTGATATGTTTTGGAAGTGTTAGATAATGGTAGTATTTTATAGAATCATTACATTTGAAAGGTAGAAAGAATCTCACTGATCACCTGGTAGAAGAATTTTATTTTATAAGAGAAAAACCAAAGCTCCCAAAGTTGAATAACTTCTCCAAAATTATTGGCATGGTGACATTTTCTCTATATATGAGGCACCCTATAAAATACCCAGCCAATAAATGATAAATCTATTACTCTCTCTCTGGTATTTGGATGAACTAAATTATCACTAAGGTAAAGACTCTAATAGACTTGAATTAGTCTTGATCTCTTCTGCTAATCTTTTCTTCACCTTTCCCTTGTGGGAAATGACAGGACTCTGTTCTATCTCCCTTTCAGTTTAGTGTTATATGACGCTAATCGGAAAGATAGTGAAGTAATTAGGGAGGAAGTACCATCAATACAAAGCTGATAGTAAGCTTTGCCTCTCCTTCCATCAGATCTAGGAGGCAGTTTCTTGAATTTCAGTGTCTGGCAGAGTAAAGGACATGGACGAAAGCATTTGGATCAGGCACCATCTAGATAAGGCTACAGTGATCCTCACAGGCAGAGGCAGACATCTGAAATATACAGCAGCCAGTTCATGTTGCAGAAGATCAACCCATCCCGTGTCTCCGAAAGCCACAATTTTGTTGGAAATCTTAGATTGCAGGCTATTCCTAAGTCATTAGATTTTGGCCAACACTTCCACAATCACTTCCTACATGTTTTCAAATAAACAACTATTATCTTTGCTTCCAGTTGGGAAGATTGTTATTTCTTTATCTTCTTGCACTGTATTTTAGCCTATGTGGATGACATCTATAACCATTATTATGCTTGTCTTACAAATCCTAGGCTGTTTGATCCATTTTTGCCATGAATCTGCATTAGAAGATGGGCTCAGTATTCTTGGTATTCCTATTTCTGGATTCCAGAAGGAGTCAAAATCTTGTCCTAGGGGAGAGTATAATCTAATCAGAGGGGTTTTACTCTTTTCTAATGGAGAATTCGTTAACTCTATTTCAATCAAATTTATTAAATGTCTGGAATGTAGTATGGTAAATACATGATGGTTATGACACAGACCTTTATCTTGGAACACACTGTTTGAATTGAAATAGATTTTCTATACCCATTACATATTGTCCATCTGAGCCCAGTTCATATTGCACCAAGTGAGGCACAACCACAAAATCTGATGGGCAAACTGGGGTACTTTTGAGAGTGAAAGGAGTTGTAATTAGTAATTACCCCTGATCCACAGATTACACAAGGGCTGTCCTGGGCAAGCTGGGATAGTGCCAGGCAAACTGGAACATACGGTCACCTTAACTACACATTAGTTTCTGTTATAATTGGTTTTTTTTTTTTTTTTTTGCCATTTTAAGTGTGACAGTTTGGGTTAAATATAACTATCTTATGATGTCTATTATACGTTAAATATTGCAGTAAAAGTTTACTCGTATTTTAGTCAGGGAAACAATATATGCATATAACCATATTAAGCAATTGTGTGTAGTGGCATTAATTTTGGACAGGGAGCTGGGAGACCTCGATTTGAAAATTTGCCTTGGAATTCAAGCTCTTCCTCCAGTCAAATCAATTAACCTCTCAGGGTGTTTTCTAACCTGTGAAATGGAGTGATACTAATTCTTCATGGGATGGTGTGAGAAGGTGGTAAAAAATGTGAAAGCAGCTAACCTGGTATGTATCAAATAATAAATGCTTGAGAAAAGGTTATCTGAGTTTGTTGATTTTCCAGTTTAATGAAAGTCAGCCAGAATGGAAGCTAGAGACTCTTATTCTTTTGCTAAAAACTTTTGTTATGAAGGATTTTTTACTGTCTTCCATGACTAGTTTTGCTCCATTCACACCCCCATCCATATTATTTTGAAGCAAATCTCAGATATCGCATCCAGTAATTTCATCCATAGGTATTTTAGTATGTATCACTAGGGAATCTTTATTTTTTAATATCATCACAGTATCATTATTAACCTAAAAAACCAATAATTACCTATTATTATCAAATACCTTGCTACTGTACAAATTTCCAGTTCTCTCAAAAGTTTTTCCAGTCTTTTTTTAAAAATCAAGGTCCAAATGAGGTTCATGTAATTCTTGGATGAGGTCTGTTAGGTTTCATTTAAAGTATAGATCCTCCCTCCAGCTCTTTATTTTTTCCATGTAATGTATTTTGCTAAAAAACCTGAATTTCATTCCACATATTACATGGTGCAGTTTAATATGGTCCTTTGTTCTCGGTGTTTCCTGTAATTGATAGGTGGATCCAGAAGATGTTCAAATTCAGGTTTTTTTTTTTTTTTTTCCTTTTTTTACAAGACAACTTCACAGGTTGTGTTGTGTTCTGTGTTCTTCTATCAGGAAGCACATAATGCCTGGCTGATTATCTTTTATGATGTTAGCAGCTGTTGCTATTTAATTGCTATAATGCCTAGATCCATTTGTTCATTAGGGATTTTTAATTTATTTCTGATCTCATAAAATTCACTTGTTTTTTTACTTCTATAAGTGGTCAGAGTTGTAACTAAGATGAAGGTATAATTAGGAAAATAGTACCTCTATGTCCCAATCTCTAATATTGTCCTTTTTCACTTTAAAGATGTGCTCCCTGACTGCTAGGAGGGAATAAAAATAGAAATAACTTTATAATGCTATAAATGAAAGATGATTAGAATATGATTTTCCCAGATCCTTTTAATATAAATGACTCTATGGGTTTTATGACATAATAATTAAGAAATAACCTCCTACATGGCTAAATACACAAAAAGCAATTAATAAAGCTTAGCTACACCAATATCCACTAAATTTTTCATTACATCTTGGCCTCAAATCCCAATAATTAAACTGTACTAATCTTGAGCTTCTTTTCTAGGAATAAACAATGTATTCTTTCTCTGATGCTTGCTCTTTTGTTATCCCTAATATAATACTGTTATTTTAATTAAAATGACAGTATGGTCCTATAACCACAGCTAAGTACTTTGTTGCTTTTCCAATAATGCTGATTAACTTTTGGTGAACCAGTCATATTCTTCCACACAGTTCCTGGTCAAGGAATAACATGTTGTCATCTGACAACTGGCAAGATGAACAGTCAGCTGTGGCCACTGCACTGACTGACTCACCCAGGGATTTAAACCATGACCTTGGCCTCATTATCATGCTGTTTTAATCTACTGAGTAAAATGGCCCGAAAAATGAATTCTGGAGACAGGAGGTAAAAACTCTGGTATTGTGTCTCCAAGCCCACTGCACATCTGTGTCCTTTCTGTAATTCGATTAGCAGCTGTTTTGGATGTGGATGAGGAATTGAAGGCAGGATATTCTCCTGAAAATTAAAGCTGATCATGTCAGTCCTGTGCATAAAAAAACCCTCCACTGCCTGTCCAAGAACTATAGGGCAAGTTCAAATTCTTCATCACAGCATATAAGGTTGTAGCATAATCTTCCTACAACCTATTTCTCCGGCTTTATGTCTTGCTACAGTTCTCTGCCTCTTTCCCTGCATACTCCAGTAACAGTGATTTTTCTCATTACTTTGTGACCACTCATGTAATTGTGGAGCATATATTTATTGAGCCCCTATAACATATAAGATAGTTTGGCAGGCCGTGGGGAAACTGGAGTGGAAGGCATATTCCTTGCTCTTAAAGAATTCATGGTGTAGTTGAGGCTACAGAGAAGGAAGTAAATGCTTACAATGCCATGTGACAAGTGCTATCTGTGAGCAAGGTCTGGGCAGTGCTGAGAGAGCCCAGGCTAAATGTTGGAAAGAGGAGAAAGGGAGGGATGAGCATATGAAGACAAAGAAGATAACTGACTGAGAAGAGGGTTATGGGAGAGGGAGTAGAAAGTCACAGAAATGAGAAACTACACATTCAGTAAAGTGCATCAAGGTTGTCATGGCTGCAGAGGGGAATATGTTGGTAGGCTGGATTGGAGAAAAGCCTAGAGGTAGGCAGGAGATGAACTGTAAAGGAACCTATATACCTTGGCAAAGTTTAGATCTTACTTCTCTGTACCTGTGTTTCCCTCTTTTGAGAATGCTTTTTCCCCTTTCTCCTGCCCAACTTAAACCAATAATAATGACAAATTCTCTCTCCAGAAATTCATTCAACAGGTCTTTGTTGGAACACCTACAATGTGCTATGTACTGTCCAGGTGTTTGGGCTACATGAGTAAAAATCCTGCTCTGTGCATATGCTTATGTTCCAGTAGAGGGAAGTTGATAACTAATGATATACATTAGTATTGGGATATTAGTGAACGTGCAGTAAAAGTTGTCAGAGAACGGCCAGTGCTATGGAAAAAAGAAAAGTAGGGTACAGTAATGGAGACTGGAGCAACCAGGGAGCAGTGGGGCAGGCTGGAATATTAAACAGGATGAATAACTGAGCAAAAGTTTGAAGGAGCAGAGGAAGTCAGCAAGTGAATACTTCAGCGAAGAGTGTTCTAGGCAGAGGGAACAGCTAGAGGAAAGCCTGAAAGAAAGTAGTGGATGAGGTCAGAGAGATTATGTGGGACTTGTAGGCCAATTAAAGAGTTTAACTTTGACTTACTGAATATGGAGAGCCACCACAAGATTTTGACCAGTGGAGTGATATGATTTGATTAATGTTTTAGGAGGCTTGCTCTTCATGCTGCGTTGAGAAAAGACCGTAGAGCTGCAAGGATACAAGCAGGGAGATCTGTTAGGAGAAACTATAGAAATACCAACCACCTATGTATATTCATGTACAGTAAGAAAGCTGCAATGATTTCAATGATTTCAGGGAGCCAGATAATCTTAGCAGAGTGCTGAGTCCTCAGTAGATTCTAGTGATTAGTTTATGATTTTAGTTTAGATATGCTTCATATGACTTATTTAGTAGATTACAAGTAGCTCTTACTCACATGTAAAAATTAAAGTCCACAGACTTAAAGGCTTTACAAACTTGTGTCCCTATCGGAATTGAAGAAAGGACTTGCACTTTGGAGTTAGTGTGTAGCCTGTCAAGAGGACCTTGAGAATTCAATGATGAAGACGGTCAGTTACTTCTAAAGTTAAGAACAATCAGTTTGAACTCAACCTCAAATTCATATATTTGAGGGACATGCCCAAGCAAAACATATGCCATACAGGATACAGTAAGATATGATAAGCATTTTAAGTAAATACGAAACCAGAACAAACAAAACAAAATGCCTCTAAGCTCCAGACTATAGATCAAAAGATAGAGATCTTTTGAAGGATAGAGGTATTTTGAAGGTACTTTTAGTTCTGAGCATAGCAATCTTATATTAAGTTGGGCCTATTACTTTGAAAAGTAGTAAATTAAAAATTCTATGTGATATATATATATTTTAAAGATTTTATTTATTTGACAGAGACACAGCAAGAGAGGGAACACAAGCAGGGGGAGTGTGAGAGGGAGAAGCAGGCTTCCCGCCAAGCAGAGAGCCCGATGTGGGGCTCAATCCCAGGACCCTGGGTCCATGACCTGAGCCGAAGGCAGACGCTTAATGACTGAGCCACCCAGGCACCCCTCTATGTGATATTTTATCCATATGATATATAGTCTGACCCATTTTTATCTTGGAAAGATACATGAATCAAGGTAGAAGATGATTTTAAGATACTTCCTGAGGATTCCCTTTAATAGGAAAATCATGTGTTGTAGTAAAGAAATGTAAAAATGAAACACAGTAAGATCACTCACTTCTGTTTCAATCCTGTAAGAAGTCAGCTGTCCCCATGATACCATCTCCTGTGCATTGTATTTCACAGTGTCTCCAGGGAGGTGAGAGGCAGTGGGGGTCCAGGGAAACACAGCCACCGGCACCCCGCATGCTGTGTTACTGGTAGAAAATAGTGCAGGGTCCAGGATGTGGCTCTACTGCAAAGGGAACACCGAAACTGTTTAACTTGGACAACCGCTTTTAAGTTTACCTTTACGTACTCAACCTAAAATAACTAAAAGAAGTGTTCTTCTTGTTCTCCGCCTCCCAGTTCCTCCTGTTTTCTATTTTGCGATGCTCACGGTGTAATTCTGAACCTTTGTTGTACATTAGTCACTTAGGGAGTGTCAAAATATACCCATGACCAGGCCAGGGTCCTAACCCCAGAGACTGATTCATTTGATCTAGGGTTGGACCCAGGTGGTATTTTTGAAAAGTGACCCAGATAATTTTAATGTGCAGCCAGGGTTGAAAACCACCATGGTTTCACACTGGAGTAAAAATATCTAGGTTCTAGTTGTAGTGCTGCCATTTACTAGGTGGCTGATTTTTAAGTCTTCAATTTCCCGTAGGATGATGAGGCTGGCTTAGAGATTTATTAAGTTCTCTAACTCTCAACTAAAACAAAAATTTTTTTATTATTATGTTATGTTAATCACCATACATTACATCATTAGTTTTTGACGTAGTAAATTGGGATACATATGATCTCTTCTAGTTTGCTTAGCTCTAAAAAGATGAAAAAGGAATCATTTGGAGTATGCTCTTTTGGTTTGAAGCAAGGGAGTTAAAAAAACAAGAGCACTTAAGTAAACTTTTCCTTCTTCCCTCTTCCCAATTACAAGGCATGGGAGAAAAGAAACACAGACATTTAAGCTTAGAAGTCACAAGAGACTTCTAGGGCTGCTTTGTCTGTCCCCAGCTCTCTTAAATTGGGAGTTAGTCATATGGTACCTGGGGAACAGAGGCAGGAGGGAGAGTGCTTACTACACACCAAGAAGGTAAATATAATACAACCCCCAAAGGCCTTACACTACTCATCAGACCATAATCTGGCCTGGTACTAAACACTGCAAGTGTGGAAGGTGAGGTAGGGGTGTGCACATAATACACACACACACACACTCCCCAACTCTCTTGTGGAGAGCGCCCAGAAGAGGATGGTCACTAGTGATGCACCCCCAGTCAGGGCCATGGGGCCTCTCCTCCACCCCTCCCAGTTCGCTCCCAGTCCTGCCCCCACCCGGAGGGTTGTCCGGACTGCGCACAGCTGGGTCCAGAGAAGGGGGCGGCAGCCACTGCCATTCTCCCTCAGCTGGTTCTCTGTATCTTTCACTGAATCCATCTCTGTGCCTCTAAAAACAGACGCAGACGTTAACCTGATCCCCTTGTTTCTCTGCCTCTTCTCTCTAGACTAGGCCCCCCAGGAAGGGCCAAATAGACCGCAGCCCTTGGCCCAAGCTCAGGCTCATTCTCACCCACCGGATTATCCTAGCACCCTCACGGCTTCCCGGCTCCTCTTCATCCTCACACCTCTCCCAGACAAACCCTAACTCCCCCAATCTCATATCCCTACTTCTCTGCGCTCTCCCACGTTGTCCCCTCAGTACCTCTCCACGCATTCTTGGCCAAAAGCCCTCAGTTTTCCAGAACTTCCTCATCCTCCCCTCCCCACCCCCCACCTCCTGCACAGGGTTCCTGGTCCTCGACATCACCTGCACTCCCTACTTGCTCATAGCTCCCTCTCCTTCCTTTTAAGGAACCCTGGCGAGCCCCCTCACCCCCGGCACCCAAGGGGACCCTCCTTCCAGGACCCCACCCATGACACCTCGGGAGCCCCTCCACGCACTCACTCTTACACCTCCAAGCCCGACACCTGGACATCCTCTCCCTTATTCCGAACAGTTCCCTCCTTTCTAAAACCAGAGGTGCCCCCACTTCCCAGTCACACCCCATCTCCTCCCCTGCCCCCAGGCTCCCACTCCTTTACCGCCCGACCCGACCCCCAGGGCGCCCCCATCTACCAAGGCTCACTCTTCGCCCCGACTCTCGACTCCTCAGGCGCCCCCTCACAGGCTCTCGTTCTCCAGCGCCCCCCGAAAACTCGCTCCCCACCCCCCCTCCCCGCCCGCCCCCAGCCCACAGGTCGCGCTCGGGAGGGGTGCTCGCCGTGCCCTGGCCTGGGCGGCCGGGAGGTGACGCGGCCCCCGCGGGAGGAGCCCGGGAGGCGGAGGGGCGGAGGAGGCGCTGGCGGCGGCACCGAGCGGCGGCGGCAGCAGCGGCAGCGGCGTAGGGAGTCGGCCCTCGGCGCCGACTCCACGGAGCCAAGGGGCGGCGGCGGCTGAGGGTCCGCCGGCAGGCGCGTGATGAGGAAGCACCAGCGCCCGACCCTGCTACGCGTCGGAGCTCGCTCGGATCCGGGCGTTGGCAGCCGATGGGCCCCGGGAATCTCCGCCGCGAGCCCTTGTCATCCCTTCCTCGCTTTCGCTTCTCCGCTCTAGCCCCGAGCGGTCTCCGGCGGCCGTCCTCGGCCCCGCGGCCCTTTCCCGGCTGTTTCTGGAGGGGTCCTCCCTCCGCGGCGCCTGGAAGCCCAGTGACGCGTCAGTCGGCGGGACAGCTGAGCTGCTTCTCTGGGAAATTAGCCCCTGTTTCCTTACTACCCTCTCGGCTCCCGCCCCGGCGGCCCCTCCGGCTGGCAGGACGCTGCCTCCCAGCGCCTGGAGCGAGTCCCCGGGACTCCCCCAGGGGGCTACTTCGCAGCTTACCCCTTTCCCCTCCGCGGCGGCGCGCGCCCCCGCCGGACACACTCGCGCCCCGGCCGGCGCGCCGCCCTCCCGCCCGCTCCTTCCAGTCACCCCACCCTTAGCCGTCCCCGCCACCTTACTCCACCACCCTCCCCCGCCACTCCGCGCACACCGCGTCCCGGCCCGGCCTCCCGCTCTCTCTGCCAAACCGCTCACTTGCCAGCCCTTCGCCCCCGGGAAGAAGAAACATTTCCCGGAGCGCCCTCCTCAGCCCTCACTACCCCCGCGCTCGCCCTCTCGCCCGCCCCCCCGCCCCGGCTCTTTCTTTCTTGGGGGAGGGGGGCTGTCGCCTCGGATTGAAGGCCATTGATTTGTATGTATTTGTCCCAGCGCCGGAGGCTGCCCCAGCCGCCCGCGCGGGTGCCGCCGCCGCCGCCAGTGGAGTTGCCTCCCTGCTTCCCTAGGGTGGTTAAGCTCCACCAAACATGTCGGCTCCTGTCGGGCCGCGGGGCCGCCCGGCTCCCACCCCGGCGGCTTCTCAGCCGCCCCTGCAGCCCGAGATGCCCGACCTCAGCCACCTCACGGAGGAGGAGAGGAAAATCATCCTGGCCGTCATGGATCGGCAGAAGAAAGAAGAGGAGAAGGAGCAGTCGGTGCTCAAGTAAGGACCCGGCTCCATCTTCCCGCCTCCCTCCCTACCCTCCGCCCCCACGGCCGCTGCCCTGCGGCCGCCTGCGCGCCGGGGATCGCCGCCCTCCCTCCAGCCGGCGGCGCCTGGGCCACGAGGGTTGCGGCCGGCGCCGGCCGCCGGGGCTGCTTTCTGGGTGTCAGAGTGCGGGGGTGTGTGTCGGGGAGGGAGGGCGCCGAGGCCGGTTGAGATGAGGATGGCGAGCCCTTGGACGCTGTAATTTTCCCGGGCGTCCTTCCGGCTTCCCTCGCGGGCCAGTTGGGCTCCAGGGCCCCCACGGGGCTGAAGCTGAACCCAGGCTCCGCGCGTCCCCTCTCCTTTCCAGCCGCCCCCGTGCGGAGGCAGTGACTGGGGCAGTGAATCCAATATGGCCGTGCACAGGTGCTCCCCGGCCGGGACCCGGGCGAAGGCGCGCCGCCGGGGATGCGGGCGCAGCCGGAGCGCCTCGTCCGGCGTTTCCGCAGGGCGGTTCTGCCTCCAACAGTGAGACGAGCAGAGCTGCCCACGGTCGCTGCGGGCAGGAGGGCGGCGGTGCAGGCGAGGGGCCTAAGCTCTGGCATGTCTCGGGTGGGTGTGCGGCCGCCGCCATCTTCCAGCCCCCCCCCCCTCGGCGGGTTCTAACACCCTGCACTCTGCTGCTCTTTCTGTTTGCAACTAGTAAATCTGTTTAATCCTGAAGAGACTCTGAAGAGGCTCCCTTTCCTACCATTACTGCAGTTTGGGATGCTTCCTACCTTGCGAAGTTCTAGTACTCGTGTTCATAGTGTAGGCAGCCGGGATTTTGACGAGGGTGGGATAGTAAAAGCAGCACCCAGGCATCGGTTTAGCGCTGTGTAACTTCAGCACCAGGGAACTGTCCAGACAGCTTCGAGACTCCTTTTCTTTCAGTCTAGCAAAGCGATTTGTTTCTACAGGTTTGCTTTTAAATGTTTTATGGGCATTTGATTTCTCAGTTACTGTATGAAAGAGATTGTGCAGAAGACGCGTAACCTTTTTATGTTTTTCCAACTCAACTTTTTTCTTTTTACTTGAAATGAATTATGTACTAAGAGATTAACTTGTACAGTTTATATGTTAAAGGTGGGATGGTTCTTCTGCGTGTTATCAAATACACTTTTCCCATATTCTCCACAGAAACACACAATTGAAAGAGTAGAGTTCCTCTATGAAGGAACTAATACATGACCTCTAATCATGTAAATTTTAAAAACAGGTTGTTCAATTCAGTATTCTTTAATACATTTATAAAGAAACAAGTTTCTGTCTATACATATGTATTTTCATATTTTAATGAAAAATACTATAAATTGTGGTAACAAATGTATCAAATATCTGAGAAAAATACAATTTCTCAAAAAATATTGAAGCGCTAAGAGAGCAAATGTTCCTGACATATTAACTGGAATAAAGAAGAATTACTTTTTCAAAGCTAATTTCTGGGTTTGGAGACTTGTTTGGGAATATGATTTACTAGTAGGCTTGGGAAATGAAAAACGGTTAAGAGATTAAGTAGCTTAATTATTTTTAAAAGCTTTATGAGCATTCTACTCACTTTGCTTTAACTATATATACTGACAATACCAAGCTTTTGATAACTTAGGGTGTGATATTCAGGTATATGAATCTATACTTTTTACTATAATTGCAATAAAATTAGTGGTGCCAAAATGATGTCAAATAAAATGTAGTTTTATTTCTTTGACCCACATATTTAAATGTACAATGTGTTTTTATTTCTTTGTAGTATGCTAAATCGTAGTATTTACTGGCTAGTTCACTCTTGTGCTGATATATAGAAATGTAAACCAACTTTTGAATACTAAATTAAGAATTACTCAGAGTGAGCAGTATATTACATTAGGAAAATGTTGTGAAAGGTTTTTTCACGTAGGTATATTATATACATTACATTTCTATGTAAACCTACATACTATGCAAATACATATAATGTTCATGCATTCATAATTGCATAGTTTAGGTAAAAACATTCTCTAAACATACACTCATACAGTCTCTGAAATTACATTGATGAAAAATCTGTTCATATTTATTTTAAATATCTTTTTGCATTTCTACCTAATAGTCTTGGAAGGAGTCATACCTCAAAGTGGCCTACATGGTTTCAGAATTATTTTTATATTCATTTTAACAAGAAGTTTTTTGGAGGTTAAAGCATAAAACATTTAATTTTAAATGTTGTTTAAAAATGTTTTTGGCTTTTGTAATAAAGTAAGATGAGGCAAGGAAAATGAGGAAAAGAATAGACTTTATGATAGAATTATAATAAAGATAGTTTTGAAGAATTTTATAATTTATTAAGTAATATTATATTGGGTATTAAGTTATAAATACTATGTATAAGAAAAAATAATACTAGTATTCTTCAATGATTACTATTTCTCATTAAGTTTTAGGGACTGTTCATCCGGTCAAGACTATATTATCCTTTGTTTTTCTTTAGTGATGTCCATTTAATTGCATGTTAACATCTATTCTGAGAGAAGGTCATGGGCAGAGAGAAGCTGAAAATCAAATTCATGTCTGCTGCTTGTAACAACTATATTAGAAGATAAGTTTGATGTGTGAAAAACTGAAACCATTGGATGAAAATATTTTCATACTAAGTATTCATACAGAGTGGGGTGTGCATACCAAAGTACATCACAAGATGATATGCTGGAGTACAGGAAGAGAATATTAAAACTTCTATTTCTATTTGAAAAAGAAATTGTTTTACTGATATTTAATATATAGTTTGACAATATTAAGATACATATAATTTGTGAATAAATACGCACGTATTAAGAAGTTCATGCCTGAGATATTTTTAATGAGAGAGGTGAGCAATCAAAGGAGATTGAGACCACTATTGAGACCATTACTATAGTAATCTCTCTCTTTGGGAAGAGATTAATTAAGAACTATTTATATTTAATTATTAGCAATTTCTTCAAAGCCTTGCTGAACATCCACATACTCAAGAAATCTTCTGTCACCATCAAGTAATTTCATTTTACATGAAATTGAGATACTAAAAGTTTGGAAGCATTTTTATATCTCAGTAGATCCCTCAATAGATCAGTAATTACTTTTTTTATCCTTACATGAAAATCCTTTTATAGTTTTAGTTTTGATAACTCAATCTACTGGTAAAATCTATAATGTTCTTTTACTTATTAATATTTTTAAGTCTTGTCTTTCAAGATTGTAAGCTTCTTGAGGGCAAGAATAAAAATGTACTCTTCTTTGAAGTTTCTGTTTTGCAGCATCTTTAACACCTACACATATTAGGTACCTAATAAGTAATGTTGCTATGACTTGTGGTAATGTTAATGAGGCAGATTACAAATTTTGTTGGGAAAATGAAGAATAATTTCTTTGAAATTAAAGCATAATTTATTAAGTTTGTATTTTTCAGTGAGGTTTTGTTGTTGTTGTGGTGGTATTGTGAAAAAAATGCATGAGAAAAGCAAAACCACTGAAATCAATAGAAAAGTATTCATTCAGTAAATATTTATTGAGTTTCTACTAGTGCATATTATAGTCTTTCAGATGAGAGGTTTTTTAATATCAAATTAGAAATTATGTTTCTTGATGTATAAATTATCTTTTTATTCTTAGTTTGGATTTTCTGTTAATGTCAAAGAGATAATTTACTCCCCAAATAAAGGAAGACAATGAGTAAAAGTTTCATGATAGATCAGAGTGACAATTTAACTTACATTTAAAACATAGATGAGCAGTTCTAGATTTTTAAAAATAGTTTAAGAGTATTTTTCAAAGTCAATTTATAAGCTTCTTTATTTAATGGATAATATATACCTATAGTACAAAATTTCTTAGCTGTGTTTTTCCCCAAGCTAGAGGCAACTACTCTTGCCAGTTTATTGTATACCATTCTAGAAATATTCTATATGTAGGAGTAGATATGTGTGTATATCACACATATGTATGTGTATGTGTGTACACAGATATGTATCTGTGTGCACACAGATATATGGATGTATATGTGTACATATAAAAAACACAAATGTGTACTGCAGTTTACTTTTTAGGAGATCAGTTCCACACCCATTAATATATAGTTTTCTCATTCATTTTAGTGGCTGCATAATATCTCATTTTGTGAATACTCTGTAATTTCTTTAACTAGAACCATATTTTTGGATATTTAGGTTGATTCTAATTATTTTGCCATTAGAAAAGCACTGTGATAAATATCTTTGTACATATATCATTTCCTATGTGTGTGAATGTATCTTTGGAATAAATTCCTAGAAATGCATTGTTGGGTCAAAAGGTCAGTGTGTTTTAAATTTTAATAAATATTGCCAAATTTACTTTCATAGAATAAGTATGCATAAGTGACATAAACTAGGGAGACTCCTACATCCCTTCCAATTCAGTGTGTGATAATCTTTGCCAATATTTTGGTGAAAAATATGCCATTGTAGATTTAATTGAAGTTTACTTATTATCAGTGAGGCTGAGAGCCTTTTACATTTGTTTAAAGTGTTATTTTTCTGTTGGTCATTTTTAGTGATTTGTAGAAGCTCTTTTTATTGTCATTTGTTTTATGACCTTTTTTTATTGGTCAGGATTTTTTTAAAAATGTGTTTGAATTTATTACTTTTTTTATGGCTTTGAGGTTTATGATGTAGTTAGAATGATCTTCTTCATTCTAATATTTAAAAAACTACCATATTGTCTTCTTAGAGCTAAATGAAATTTTAAGAACAAGGCATGTCAAATAATAGATGCAATTTAATCATGAAGACTTTTAAATAAAAATCATTATTGTACACGTAAATAGCCATGGCCATTGTCAAAAATTGAAAACCTATAGTTTCTAAGAATTTAAAATGCATTCTAAAACATTGATTGGCATTTTATGAGACAGTACGTAATAAATTATATATATTCTGTATTTTAAATTAACTAGGACAATTAAATAATATCTTTTTGTTGACAAT